CAGTCCTGGTCTCAGTTCTGGTCTCAGTCCTGGTCTCAGTCCTGATCCTGGTCCCGGTCTGGTCCCCGTTTGAGTTCTGGTCTGGTCCCAGTCTCAGTCTTGGTCTCAGTCCCGGTTTGTCCTGGTCTAGTCCCGGTCTCAGTTCCGGTCTAATTTCTGATCCTGGTCCAGGTCTGGTCCCGGTCTCAGTCCCAGTCTGGTCCCGGTCTCAGTCCCCGTTTGAGTTCTGATCTGGTCCCAGTCTCAGTCTTGGTCTTAGTCCCGGTTTGGTCCTGGTCTAGTCCCGGTCTCAGTTCCGGTCTAATTTCTGATCTTGGTCCAGGTCTGGTCCCGGTCTCAGTCCCATTCTGGTCCCGGTCTCAGTCCTGGTTTGGTCCTGGTCTGATCCCGGTCTCAGTTCCTGTCTCAGTCCTGATCCTGGTCCCGGTCTGGTCCCCGTTTGAGTTCTGGTCTGGTCTCAGTCTCAGTCTTGGTCTCAGTCCTGGTCTGGTCCTGGTCTGGTCCCGGTCTCAGATGTGGTCTAATTTCAAATCCTGGTCCCGGTCTGGTCCCGGTCTCAGTCCTGGTCTGGTCCCGGTTTCAGTCTTGGTCTCAGTCCCGGTCTGGTCCCAGTCTCAGTCTTAGACTCAGTCCTGATCCTGGTCCCGCTCTCAGTTCTGGTCTGGTCCCAACCTCAGTCCCAGTCTCAGTCCTGGTCTGGTCCTGGTCTGGTCCCGGTCTCAGTCTTGGTCTCAGTCCTGGCCTTGTCCTGGTCTGGTCCCTGTCTCAGTCTTGGTCTCAGTCCTGGTCTGATCCCGGTCTGGTCCCGGTCTCAGTCCTGATCACCCGACAGTCTACGTGGGCGCACCTCCAGGCCCGTCCCAACACTCAGTCCTGTTTTAGTCCTGGTTTAGTCCTAGTTTTTTCCATTATTAGTCTAAACACAAAATCGAAAACTGAAAAAACAAATCATTATCTGTTTTTTTTTTTTTTTTCATTTTGGTTTTGGAGACAAATAAGGAAGAAAATAATTGTTTATTAATTTTCTTATTCTTGGTTTTATTTTGAAAAACCAATGAACATATGACACCATTAATTACCATCATTAAAGTCACACTGTGGAACATTCACAGGACAGAAATGAACCTCGAGATTCGTTTCTCCTTCCTCCTCTGTGCTGAATATTATCGTCTCGTAGAATCATCTGAAGCCTTTTCTGTCTGACGTCGTAGATGTTCAAACACATTCCCTCATTTCCACAGAGTTAACGGCTCATTCAAAACTTCTGATTCATGATTTCTGACTCCCGTCCAGTCGTTTACGGTCGCCACTTTGCCAAACGTCGTCACGGAGCCAAACTCTCGCGGACGCTGTAATAAAACTCCTCGGCTATTGTCAATAAACCGACACTAAAACCTGAGTTACGATTTAAACACGGCCTATTATGTGAAATCCATTTTTGTAGCGTTCTTGTTATAATGTCGTTCTCTCATCCGTAACCTACTCGAATGTCATCCACGCATGTTTGAGTAATTTAGTGATCTCTCCCAAGACCTATTCAAATCCTCCTTAGTATGATTCTTCAGACAATTCTCCATAAATATTTATTTATTTATTTTTTTGCACATATAACATGACAATAAAAAGAAACACACTAGATAAAAAGTAGGTGCCGGAAGAGGCAAAAAACCCAATAGAGCGAAATATTAAAGCCTCCACCTTATGAACACATTAACACACATCATTGTGCATAAAAATACATATATATAGAAAAATGGCATTTAAACACCATGGATTCAATTCTTTTGATTTAAACATGGATTAAAACACAATGAAACATCCACAATTGAAAGATTATCAAACATTAGCACGAAATATCAAACATTTCCTCAAACTCTTTTTTAAAAAAAACCTCTGATTTGCCGTCACTGACCAGATGTGAAAACTGCTCCGGAATTTCCCGCCTCTGTATCGTCGGCAAAACTGACTCTTGATGTGACAAATTTTGGAACATGAAAATTATGAATTTGACGAGTTTTGTATATGAATCTCTGCACTGGTTTTAAAGTAAAATGTGAAATGTTCGGGGATCATTGTTGAATTATAAAGGATTTTATACATAAAAATACAAATTTGATAAATATTAATCTCATAAATATTAAGAATGTTAAGTTTAGTGAATAAATGAGCAGACGACGTTAGTGGCATAGAATGAGTTGCAATTAGAACAAAACGTTTTTGCACCAATAATATTTTGTTCAGAGTAGAGAAAGTGCAGCCCAGACTCTATTACAGTATGACAGACAGGGATAAATTAAACGAAAGTACAAAGTAAGTATAGACTTTGACTCCAGAAATTTACAAACTTTTCTTATAATACCAAAAGATTTGTTAATTTTTCTGGTCATCCAGTCAGCTGCTCTTTCCAGTTTAGACAATGACGCCCAAAAATTTGGTGGATGAGACACGAGTTATTTCAATTGAATCAATTTTGGTTTTAGGGTTAAATATACAAAAATATCAATCAATCCATCCATTTTCATCTGTTTATCCGGGGCCAGATCGCTGGGGCAGCAGTCTAAGCAGGGACTCAGGGACTCTATCAGTCAATTTCATTCTAAAATAATGTGCTCTAATGTGTTCTGAATTAAAATATTCTCCTTTGAGTTTACATGGAAATAATAATTCCAAATTGAGGTTTACATGGAAAACTCGTTAAATCGTCTTTATTTAATGTGGTTTCTCATTCCTCCATGGACACAAACACCATCCAAAGTTTTTCCTGCAGTGGTTCTGATGATAATTGCGAAGCAGCCGCTGGAGAATTCTGTCATCACGCTTTACGTCTGTCGGCTGAGGAGGAGAAGGGAAGAGTGTCGGAGAAGGAGGAAGAAGACAAAGTGAGTGTGAGGCTGTTCTACCTCAGCCCACTCCCACATCCTGCTCACAAATCCAAAGAGACGTGGATCGAAGTCCAAAGACACGACTGGTGGAGCCGGATCATTCGGATCGCGTCAGAAGGGCGACACAACGAGCATGCACTGAACGACGTAATCATTTTTTAAGAAGAATAAACGTTTACATGATCCAGGAATAAATTAATTTGGCTTTAAAATCAGAATGAACCCAGTCAGTCTGGCGCCACCTAGTGCCTCCGTTCAATTTAGTTTCTCTCCAGTGACTAGATCAGGAATCAGAATAAACTAGACGGTTCGCAAGAACATCGGAAGTGTGAGTCCAGGCACCAGCCAATCAGCGAAGAGTCATACGTTCTGTGTTGGCAACGATTCCCGAAATCGAGGATTTAAAGCCGAAACAAAGAGAATGTTTGGTGAATTTTATCAGGTGGAAAGTCCTTCCTACGGGATTTGGGAAAAGCTTAAAGGTTGTATAGAGGATTTTCCAAGGAACAAGAAATCCAGTGACTGTTTGTCCTTTTTCAAATGTTGCGCATGCGTGAAACCACCCCCCTCCCCCACAGCTTAGTAGAACGCCTCCTCCCTCCTCCTCCTTACGCCACAAACAGGTTACAGCCGCTGCACATACTTGTAAGCAACTAACTACAGTGAATTCGTGAGGAGCAGGGGAAGAGCGGAACGGGCAGCGGGACAGGAGCAGGAAAGGGGTGCAGAGAAGAGTGCGCGGAGATTCAGTGCGAATGAACTAGTTACAACACGCAGCAGCAAGTGGACTCTTTCTTTGCCTTGAAAATTACGTTTTCAACATAGAATATCACATTCGTGTCCTGAAAACGTTTGTTAACTCTTGAAATAAAGTACGTTTTCATAATAAGCAGAAGTTTCCTGTCCAGGAGTAATTTGTGACCAGTGCGTCTTTAGACTCTTCGTGCTTCAGTCGCGCCATCGCTGGAATGAATCTCCAAGAATCACCTTAGTTTGGCTTCACTGCTTTTCCCCTTGTCTTCTTCTTTCACCTCAAAAACTGACTTTCTTTTGTGGCGAACTGCTCCTGGATTCTTGTCGCCATCGCAACAAACTTTGTGCGAACTGCGAGGAAGATATAGTCAAAAAGCCGCTAAGAACTGTTGCGTTGGTGGAGTAACAGTGTCTTGCGTCTTGCGTCTGTGGACTGCGTACAGTCGTACGTAAACCGTACCGGCGGCGCAGACAAGTCAGTTACACTAGAAACGTAGGGAGTTTGATTGACAGCCTGTCAGCTCACAGATAACGAGGCAGTGTCGTTATCTATTGGCAAATGTTTAGCCAGAGTCCAGAGTTGATGAATTTTTATTCTCTTTTTTTTGGTCATCATAATTACAAGGCGACTGCATCTCTATAATCTATCATTGACAATTTGAAACAAAAAAAAAATCCTCCATACAAACTTTAATATACCAGTTAGCCCCATTAGTGGAGCATTACATACGTCACAAACAAATAGCAGCGATTGGTTAAATAAAAAAAATAAAAAACCCGCCTACTGTTGAGTGAATGAGTCCTAACGCTGCGAGGTCAGACGGTTTCTACAAAGTGAAACCGGCTGATGAATCAGACTAGAATAAACCTCCCACTTACTTCGGAATTAAGTTTAATTCTGAATAATCATTTTCATTAAGAATTAAGTGTTTACATGGTCTGTTTAAAGTGGAATTATTTTTTTATTCAGAATTTAATTATTTTTATTCAGAATTAAAGCTCTCATGTAAACGTGGCAACTGTGTCCTTGGGCAAGACACTTCACCCACATGGAGTTCAACAGTGACCGTCCACATCCCAGATCCACGACACAAAACTGTCCACAGCAACATGAAAAAAACTGAAGTGATGTGCAGTAGTTTCGTTAGCGGGACGCACGCTGATTGTGTTGTGACAGCGCTCTGAAGGGGGAGCGACTTAGTGTAGAGAGCAAAGAGAGGGAGAGACTCAGTGCGTCAAAAACAAAAATTAAACGTGTTAAATTGTTGCTGGAAATACATAATTTTCCAAACAATAAAAGGTGAAGAAGTAGTGTAATAGCTCTTCTTTAATATGTTTTTTGTTTTTTTTCTCGTATATTTTCAGTATTCTTGGGATGCACATCTTCGGCTGTAAGTTCAGTTTGAAGACGGAGACCGGAGACACTGTTCCCGACCGCAAAAACTTCGACTCTCTGCTGTGGGCCATCGTCACTGTGTTTCAGGTAAAAACAAATATTTTAAGATTATTATTATAATTATTAGTGTTGTTCTGATACCATGTTGTTTTTATCCAATACCGATACCGATACTTGGCTGTCATGTACTCGCCAATACCGATACCAGTCCGATACCGTGTAGTGTGAAGAAATAATCTAAAGCTACTCAGTTTTGTGAAATACAAGAGTAAAAGTGAAAGAGTATCTCACTAAAGAAAATGTACAAGAATAAAACAGACAAAATTATAAGTCAGATGTACTAGTGTAATGGTCCTGATGTGGAGTTTAAGCATTTTTACTTTCCTACTTGGTCACGTTCTACCACAGTGTGAATAAAAACATCAGTGAGGCCTGTGAAAAGACGCTCATCCTTGAAGCACACGGCTAATTCTGCAGCGTAAACAAAGTCAGAGTTAGCCTAGTGGAGCTTTGGTTATTTTAGTTCAGTGTCCTTAAAGGCTAAATGAAGGTGTCAAAGAGGAAACACAAATGTATTTTCTGTCATTATTAGTGTGTTTTAAGTGTTTACACAACCTCCACGCTTTCTGTTTAATCTGTTCTTAGCGTTAGCGTTAGCATTAGCGTTAGCCGCAGACGTCATCAGCGGCTGCTCATTCTGGAACATTCTGGAACATTCTGGAACATGGTTTCAGATCAATTGTTTGGGAAAATAAGTTTTGTTCTGAAGAGTCTTAGAGTTGGACAGAAAGAATCTGGAGTCTGAGGCAAAAGACGTTTGTTTACATCAGTCCAGCACTTGGTGTACGTGAATACTAATACTACTAATACTAATACTACTAATATTACTAAAACTACTGATCTGTACTGATACTACTAATACTACTACTACTAATACTAATACTACTAATACTAATACTACTAATACTAATACTACTAATATTACTAAAACTACTGATCTGTACTGATACTACTAATACTAATACTACTAATACTAATACTACTAATACTAATACTACTAATACTAATACTACTAATACTAATACTACTAATATTACTAAAACTACTGATCTGTACTGATACTACTAATACTACTAATACTAATACTACTAATATTACTAAAACTACTGATCTGTACTGATACTACTAATACTAATACTAATACTACTATACTACTAATACTACTAATACTAATACTACTAATACTAAAACTACTGATATACTACTATACTAATACTAATACTAATACTACTGATACTAATACTAATACTAATACTACTAATACTACTATACTAATACTACTGATACTAATACTACTAATACTAATACTACTAATATTACTAAAACTACTGATCTGTACTGATACTACTAATACTAATACTATTAATACTACTAATACTAATACTACTAAAATACTACTAATACTAATACTACTAATATTACTAAAACTACTGATCTGTACTGATACTACTAATACTAATACTATTAATACTAATACTAATACTACTGATACTAATACTAATACTAATACTACTGATACTAATACTACTAATACTAATACTACTAATATTACTAAAACTACTGATCTGTACTGATACTACTAATACTAATACTACTAATACTAATACTACTAAAACTACTAATACACTAATACTACTGATACTAATACTAATATTACTGATACTACTGATACAAATACTACTAATACTAATACACTAATACTACTGATACTAATACTAATAATAATACAACTGAAACTAATACTACTAAAACTACTAATACACTAATACTACTGATACTAATACTAATACTACTAATACTACTGATACTACTGATACTAATACTACTGATACTAATACACTAATACTACTGATACTACTAATACTACTAAAACCAATACTACTGATACTAATGCTATTAATACTAGTACTACTAATACTAAAACTACTGATAATACTAATACTATTAATACTAATACTACTAATACAGCTTCTTCCCTAAAGCTTTCACCACAGTGAATGAGAACCGTTCATTTGTTTTATTTATTCTTAATTCTTGCACTTTGACGGAGCAGCTGTGAATTTCATGTATAACGACAATAAAGACTTTATGTTCTATTCTGTTCTATTTCTACTGCTAATACTTGATTCAGTGACATGTCGTGATACTTCACTGCACAATTCTGACCGATTCAAAATGCATCCGAATCATTTTTCACAAAAAAACTCGCTGGTTACATTCACTGTCCTCATGATTTTAAAAACGTATTAAATTATATGTGATAGAGTGTTGTTCTCGCGGTTGCTGGTGTAGTTGACTGTTATTATTAGAATGAATTATTGATAAATCACACTGTGCTTTAGTTCTGGCCATTCCAGCCGCACTCTGCTTCCACACAAGGAGGGTTAAACGGGAGCTAAAGAAGGACAAGCTGGAGATAAACAAACGGAGATAAAGTGAGAAGAGCAGAGCGCGCCGCTTTAACTGCCAATGTTAAAGAAGGACAAATTCTGTAATAGCTGGATGAGGCCAGAGAAGCACCGAGAAACGTCAACAATGAGCTGGAGGCGTCCTTGCTACGACCGTGCAGAGGATACAAAACTCCACAACATCGGCGATTTGGTCTGAGCACTCGCCGATACCGATACGATACCTGAAAACCGTGCAGTATCAAAGCTTTTGCCGATACAACACACCCGCAGAACCATAGTTATTATATCAAATGCATTAGCCATAACATTATGACTACAGAACTGTTACGCTGTTTTCTGATTATAACAGAGTATAGTTCCTTTAATAGAGGCTTTGCACCGTCACGTGACCCTATAACAACGGTAACCTACGCCGCCATGACACCAGGCACACTATGTCATTTACTTCAGCAGCATCGGAGAAACATGGGCAGGTTTTGTTGTGTATTTGGTTGTTCTAGACGCTCTGAAAGGGATAAAATCATTCTTTTCTTCACTGTTCCTCTGGAAATGACTCATCAGGATCAAACAAGGGAATTATCGGAAAAAAAGACGGGAATTATGTCTAGAGAACATAAACCATGAAGAGATTTCCTTTGGTTCCATCAAGACACACTCACGTCACTTTCATCAAGGTATTTGCTACTTAAATAGTTTCATAGTTTATTTAATGAGAGAAGCACATTTACTGAACTAAAATGTAAAAAGAAAACATTTGCAGTAGAAACTGTATCTTCCAGCACATATAAACATGTCACTCGTCGTAGGACCATGTTTTCTTTATTGTCTTGTTTATCCACAACTTTGTCTTCTAGAATAAATCGCTTTTTATGAGCGCATCTTTCTAACGTTCACGAGGATCTTTTCATGGCCGATTCTTTCGAGGTTCGGCTCACAGACTCTTCGACTCGTGCGTCGTGTTGATCACAGGAGCCCAGTGTGGGTTCGTTGAATCGTAAACTAGTGCGGGTTTTCCTGGATAAATTAATGACATTTTAGTTCAGTAAATGTGCTTCTTTCATTAAATAAACTATGAAACAATTTAAATAACAAATACCTTGATGAAACTTTGGGTGACTTGATGGGACCATTGGAAATCTCTTTGAGGTTTATGTTCTCTAGACATAATCCACGTCTTTTTTTCGATAATTCCCTTGTTTGATCCTGATGAGTCATTTCCAGAGGAACAGTGAAGAAACGATTAGTTTTATCCTTTTCAGAGCGTCTAGAACAACCAAATACACAACAAAACCTGCCCATGTTTCTCCGATGCTGCTGAAGTCAATGACATAGTGTGCCTGGTGTCATGGCGGCGTAGGTACCGTTGCTGTAGGGGACACCTGACGGTGCAAAGCCTCTATAGTTGAATCCTTGTGTTTAAAGCATGCGCGGTGACCCTTGACCCTTGTGTCGTGACAGATCCTGACTCAGGAGGACTGGAACGTGGTCTTGTACAACGGGATGGCCGCCACGTCGCCTCTGGCCGCTCTGTACTTCGTGGCCCTCATGACGTTCGGGAACTACGTCCTGTTTAATCTGCTGGTGGCCATTCTGGTGGAGGGCTTCCAGGCCGAGGTGAGGAGGAGGGGGTTTGGGTGTTGTGCCTGTATGTGTGTGGTGGAATGTTTACCCTGGTGACACAATGCACACGTTAACTCTTTTCCCGTGAAGACGACATTTGACGACAGCCCTTGTATCCTGAGTGACGTGTTTTGACTCCTCCGCTGTTTCACTAAAGACGCGACTTGACGAACATTACAAACGGTTCCGGTTTTTCACATGTAAACAGAGGCTGTGATTGGTCGGGGCCACTACAACCCACAATAGACTGACCAATAGGATTCAAGAATATGTTTTCTCAGATTTTTTCCGAAGTTAATCGAAGTAGTGATGATCGTAGCTTCCGGAAAAAACACAACATGAAACACGAGCGATGGAAAGATCGCGGTGCACAGTTTTAGAAATAATGAGGAGCGGACGTATTTTATGGTTAGAGAAAGTGACGTTTATAGATTTCAAAGTGATGATGAAGTTGATTATAAAGTGGAAAACAGCGACAGCGATGGACTTTCGGGGAGTGAAACTTATGAAGGTGAGAATGCAGCTGATGCGTCTGTGTGGAGTCCTGCGATGTCCCAACAAACTATCTGAGCTTTATACTCGATTATGAACCAAAATTGCCCTGAAATCTGAATGCTGCTCAGACGAGTCCTTTCAAATATTTCAGTCTTTTTTTTCCAAGATGAGATGTATAACAGAATTGCTACAAAAACAAACATTTATGTGGAGCTCTGCACACGAGAAAGTAACCAAGATGACAAATACTGGACACACACTGACCGGGAAGAGTTTTATTATTATATTATTATATTATAATAAGATAAATGAGTTGAATAAGTTAAATGGAAAAAACGAATTAGGTCCACACAGGTGAACAACAGGTAAAAACAGATGCACACGTGGTTATACTATATCTGGTGATATGAAATCTGTTTAAATACTTTGAGAAATATATTTTATTTTATTTTTTTATGAATATAATACTCAGAACATGCAGATATCAGATGCTGAATGTAGTTTTTTGTTTTTGATTTTGCACCTGACCAGGTAAACTCTCATTTTCAGTGAGCTGTTATAAACCTGTAACTCAGGCTTGTCCAAACTGTGGCCCGTGGGCGAAATGCGGCCCTCAGATGCATTTTTCTTGGCCCTCAGGCTTCCAGGTGAATTGGCCCAAATGACCTTGAATCAATTAAAAATGAACTTTTTACTGCAAGTTTTTTGAAAATCAAACTTGATAAAGTGAAAATTTAATATTTAGTGTTTGGTTTTAAGGATCTTAGTATGAATAAAGACTGTGGGCTCATTCTAATGTATTTAAACATGCACATATTTCAATTATTCCCTGTACTGAGCACCAGTCTACGGCCCTTGATCAGCCTCTGCTTCGTCTGTGTTTAGATTTGTGGCCCTTGATGAAAAAAGTTTGGACCCTCCTGCTGTAAATGAACTGAATCACATTTAAACATCCATAAATGAAGAGTTCAGAGTCTAAAGTTTCCAGAGATACAAATATGTTTGTGTTTCAATGAAGTTCATGAGTATGAAGAGCACTTCTATTCACTCGTGGAAGTCTGTTTTCTTTCTTTTCTTCTATGTTTAGCCCTGGTTATATTTGTATGGGTTGTTCCTCGTCGGTGTCCAGGGGGAAAAGAGTTCACAAACACGTCCAGTTTTTTTCCACCTTTATGCCCTGACAAAGACCATCTTGTTGGTTGAAACGCGTTGGCTTCCCTCCATGTAATAAAGGACTTTTAATATATTCAGTCGAAGTGCCTCGGGTTTGTACCTCGCCGACCTTTAAATTTTTCAGTAAGGGCAACTTTCTGTTCAGATTTCAAGTTTAATCCCCGTGGAGCACCTGTACTGCTACTTTTGACTTTTTTATGATCCAGTGAAGCGCTCTGCCTCTTCTCTTCATCCAGTTTTTTTATGAGTCTGAAAAAGGGCTGTGCAAAGATATTGAAATACTGATATATCGCATCGTTTAATGTGATGATACAGTATCGATATCGTCGGCTGCTGTATCGATATATCACCAAGAGCATTTTTTGTTTTTATTTTACTAAATTATTTTGTTACAGCTACAGTTTTGTTGTTTGTTTAGAGGAAGGAAACTCATTTATGCGACACATTTGACATTTTCACTGTTTTGATGAATGTGTTTCATTTTAACTTTGCACAAGAAGTGGATTAATAAAGACTTTTAGGGTCACAGCCATGATTTAGCCTTTATTTTTTACTGAACCGTATCGAATCGATTTGAAATCTGTTGTATCAAATCGAAAGTGAACTTTATCAAGGTTTGTATCGTATCGTGGCCTACACTTGGACGTGTCTGACTGTTGAGACCAGAGCTGGGACCAAGTTGTTGTTTTGTAAGTCTCAAGTCTTTGACCTCAAGTCCGAGTCAAGTCCCAAGTCAAATACAGGCAAGTCCAAGTCGAGTCTTGAGTCACTGGCCCATAAGTCCAAGTCAAGTCCAAGTCGAGTCTCAAGTCCATCCATCCATTTTCTTCCGCTTATCGGGGTTGGGTCGCAGGGGCAGCAGTCTGAAAAGGACCTCCCTGACTTCCCCCTCCACAGACACTTCCTCCAGCTCTTCCAGGGGGATCCCGAGGCGTTCCCAGGCCAGTCCAGAGACATAGTCCCTCCAGCGTGTCCTGGGTCTTCCCCGGGGCCTCCTCCCGGTGGGACATGACCGGAACACCTCCCGAGGGAGACGCCCGGGAGGCATCAGAACAGACGCTCGAGCCTCAACTGGCTCTGACTCCGAGCTCCTCCCGTGTGCCTGAGCTCCTCACTCTGTCTCTAAGGGAGACGCCCAGACGCCCTGCGGAGGAAACTCATTTCAAGCGCTTGTATCTGTGATCTCGTCCTTTCGGTCACTACCCAGAGCTCATGACCAGAGGTGAGAGTAGGAACGAAGACTGACCGATAAATCGAGAGCTTCGCCTTTCGACTCAGCTCCTCTTCACCACAACGGTCCAATAACGATCCAGAGTCTCGAGTCACTGGCCCATAAGTCCAAGTCAAGTCCAAGTCGTCTGCTTTGAGTCTTTTGAGTCATTTGAAATCTTTAAACCAAAGTACCAAATATAGCTTTGCCTTAGATTTTTTCTGTTTACATAATTTTTTAACTAAATTGTACTTAAAAAGTCATGGTAAATGAGTATTTATATAAGAGAAAGAGAGAGAAATGCACATTTTTCCTTTTTAAATGTCTTGACCAGAGTGCGAATTATTACGGTCAGAACAGAAAAAGTTCAGATTTAAGAACAATTAACAACAGTTCATTTGTCAACCAGTCTCAGCATCAAGTCTCCTCACGTCACAGGCCTCGAGTCCAAGTCAAGTCCCCAGTCTCTGTGTATTTTATCAAGTCTCAAGTCCTAAAATAGTGACTCAAGTCTGACTCGAGTCCAAGTCACGACCTTCCAACTTGGTTTCTGTTAGTTTAGTTTAGTTCTGTTTTGTGTCTTTTTATTTTGTCACTTGATTCTGTTTGTGGGTTTATTTGATGTTATTTTGGGATTTAGTTTTGTTTTATGTCCCTTCGTTTAGTCTCTTGTTTTTTTAGACCCATGGCCCATTTTTTGACATTAAACTCGTTCTATGTTAATCCTGTGATTCAGTTTCTTAGTTTAGGTTATTTTGCGCACTTATTTAAAACCACTTTTGTTATTCTTCCTTTTACAGTCCTGTTTATTCAATTATTACTGGAGCTGGATCGTAACAGTGAGAAACTCTTGGCTAAAGCTTGTGACTGTAATGTGTTTTGTTTTTTGAGAGAGAATTGTTTCAGCAGCACAAAGCAGCAGCTCACCTGTCGTAGTTCCAGCTAAACCAGTTCTTTCTGGTCAGATTTGATCAAATTAAAGCTCAGTCTAATTTGAGTCACAGAGTTTCAGACAGAGCAGTGCTTTCAGTTAACGAAACAATATTACTGTGTTTAAAATGTAAAATATGACACGAATATAACAGCACTTTAACTCTCAACAAAAGAACTGAGCGAAGACGCCAAACCTATGGACTGAACCAGGACTAAACCAGGACTAAACCAGGTCTAAACCAGGTCTAAACCAGGACTAATCCGGGACTATTCCAGGACTAAACCAGGTCTAAACCAGGACTAAACCAAGGACTGAAACAGGTCTAAACTAGGTCTAAACCGGGACTAATCCGGGACTATTCCAGGACTAAACCAGGTCTAAACCAGGACTAAACCAAGGACTGAAAACAGGTCTAAACTAGGTCTAAACCGGGACTAATCCGGGACTAATCCAGGACTAAACCAGGACTAATCCAGGACTAAACCAGGACTAAACCAGGTCTAAACCAGGTCTAAACCAGGTCTAAACCAGGACTAAACCAGGATTAAACCAGGTCTAAACCAGGTCTAAACCAGGACTAAACCAGGACTAATCCGGGACTAATCCAGGACTAAACCAGCACTAAACCAGGTCTAAACCAGGTCTAAACCAGGTCTAAACCAGGACTAAACCAGGATTAAACCAGGTCTAAACCAGGACTAAACCAGGTAAAAACCAGGACTAAACCAGGTAAAAAACCAGGATTAAACCAGGTCTAAACCAGGACTAAATTTAGCCTAACTTAATCTTAGCCCTTGGAGCGTTTAGTTCTGCGTCGGTCCTTTCTCCTGCGGTCACCTGACGGTCTACGGGGGCGTGTCTCCAGCCTCGTAACGATGACGTTTCACTGCTGTTGATGCCGCGAATTTGTATGAAAAAAATCAAAAAACTCACCACTTCAGTCCAGTTTAAAAACACATTGTGACGCGTGTTACTCACATTTGTTCACAGTAAAATATTAACATTTTTCCCTGTAAAACCAAATTACTGCGTTACAGCAAAAAGCAACACGCAGTAAAACAGTCATTCTTTTCTTCGACCACCCAAACCCTGATTCCAAAAATACAATTCTTATTCCCATAAACTTTCTTTTTAAAAACGTGTATTAAAAGTTTGGAAGCTCGGGGATAATCACCTCTGTGG